AGATAGATAGATAGATAGATAGATAGATAGATAGATAGACAGACAGACAGACAGACAGACAGACAGACAGACAGACAGACAGACAGACAGACAGCAGTGGTGAGTTGCTTCTGGTTCGGTCCGGTTCGGCCAAACTTTTAGTAGCAGTGGTGGGAGGCCCCGCCTACTTCCAGACACTTCTGCATGTCTGCACATGTGCAGAAGCATTATACACGTGTGTGAGTACAAGCGAGACAGCGCCCGAACCAGTAAATAACCGTTGTAAGTGGAGGACTACCTATATATCATTTGGATTTCTCTCTCTCTTTTGGGCTGGGGAGCAGCCTTTAAGGGAAGAAGGATTGTAAGGAGAGATGGAAAAACAAACCCTCATGAGTTGATCTAAGTGACAATAAAAGAGGGCAGGAAATCCTTTTAGATCTTACGACACTTTTTCCCCTGGATTTTGGTAATTAGAAATACAAAGTTAATGACGTAAGGAGACACAAACACACGAGGCTGGGAAAACACAACCTGACTTTCCTTTTTCCTTGCCCTTATAATGTGGAGAGGAGGTTACAGTCAATGGAAAATCAGCGTGAACAGCCTCCGAGGGCAGCAGCTGCACCACCAGGGAGAAAGGAAAAACAAAACTACTGATAAAAAGTGAGATAGAAAAGAAAAAGGACCGACTGGCAGAAAGCTGATCCAGCAGATGTTGCAAACCCATAACTGCAAAATGGGAAGCTTCTGTCTGCAGAGATTTATTTAGGATGCCTCTTCTTTATTTATTTTTCAAACATTTTTTTTAATTAAGTTGCAAAGTATCACAACATACAAAAGTAAAGAAAAGAGCAGTGAGAGGAAAGGGGTAAGAAAAGCGAGGAAAGGTAGGGAAAAGAAAAGGGGGGGAAAAAGCAGCATTGACTTACAACTCTCTCTGTTGCCGTTGAATCAGGGGTGAAATGCTACCGCTTCATAGTAAAAAAAATAATGCTTTAAAAAGTAAAAAAAACGATTAACTGTGTGACAATCGGCTGTGTCTAATTGTCTGTGATGTTCCTGCTTGTTGCAGGGGCCATTTTGTGTGAAGTCCATCGGCTTTTGCATTGCGTGTGAGTCCATTGTGTAGCTTTTGCGTTGTTTTTGTGTAAAGTGGGATAGGGTTTTTTTTTAGCCCTCTGTGACAGTGATGGGTTGTAGGAGGTACGTACCGGTACAGGCATACCGGAGCCTGCCCAGAGTCCACCCGCCTGCCCGCCTGCCCGCCTGCCCGCCTGCCCGCCTGCCCGCCCGAACTCCTTATCAGTCTTTTAAGTCTTTGGCACTTCTGTGCATGTGTACAGCG